TCCTAGCGCCTGCCGAGCGTAGGACCTGAGAGGATGAAACAATCGTCTGTCTATCTACTTATAGTCCAACGCTAACAATATGGTACTATCTAGAAGCCACAAAAACGCTTGGCGCGTCGGCTAGGTACCGGTAACCAGTCCCAGTACGAAAAAGGCCCAATAGGGGCAGTACACAAGGCTGACAGTCACAGCCCACAAGGGTCACTACGGGTTTCCCAATATGCGTACAATTAGGAGTACTGGTAGGTAGGTAGTGTGAGGTGAAATTGAGAGAAGAATATAGCTTTTATAAAAGAGTATTGAAAAAATAAAAATAAAAAGATCTCATGGGAAAAAAAAGGTAGGAAGACAGATTGTTTAATTTTTTTGATACCTTCCTTCCGCTGAATCAATGCCGTCTCATTTGAATCATTTGATACATTTTTTTGAATACTCAAAAAAAAAAACAAAAAAAAAAAAACAGTAAAAGCCGAAGTACTGAAAGCTTTGTAAAAAGTTGCAAAGACTGATGCGTCGAATTTATCAACTATTAAAAACATTCTGGTCTCTGTTCACCTGGGAATTTTATTTATTATTATTATTATTATTATTTTTTGAAGAAAAGTAAGCTACATTATTCTCTCATTTTCACCGCACGCTACCTACCCATCACCACCATTCCTTAAAAAAACAATTCGCAGCTGCTCCATTTTTGAGAGAGAGAAAAAAAAGGTTTGTATTTTAAGAAAGAAACTTTTCAAGTCGCAAGCCTAAGGTTCTCGGACCGTTCTCCCTTCATTTTTGGAAAGTTATTCACTTTTGACATTGTTTTCCTTTAGTGGAAAGTTCCTTCGTTTCTGCTTCTGCTGCATTTTTTTTACTTTTTTAACACACGTCACATTCAGGGCTTTCCAACTGACTTTCCCCCCCCCTCCCCCCTAGCCATCTATATCTATTATAGTATTATCTATATATAGTATATAGACAATAACTTCTTTGAAAATTTGAATGCAAAAGTTTAATGTTGCTGCCTCGTCTATGCCTGCGGTTTTTTGCCTCACTGTGGCAGAAACACTCAAGAAATGACAAGAATGATATTCTTTTTTTTTTTTTTTCCCCTCTCTTTTCTTTCTCCGTGATTTGCCAGATTCTGCACTATCTGCGCTGTTTTGTGAAGACTAAAACATTTGAGCAATTTCTCCTTTCCAGCTATTTACATCTCTTAATTTAGTATGAAAAATTGTTAAAAACTTAAGAATATAATAAATTATACTCTTTGAATTTTCAATTTTGAAAAGTGAAGCCATAATAATGTTGCTTCATGTTCTACGCCTGCAGTTTTTTGCGCCAGTGTGAGCGGAAACGGACGAGAAGTTTGTCGAGAAATTCGAGAATGATGTATTCATTTTTGCCTCTCTTGTCTTTCTCCCTGGACTGACTGACAGATTCTGCATCATTCAACAGAAAGGTTCTTCTTCCAGAATGGCAGGCAAGGGTGCTAAACACCCAATTCCTGAGGGGTACACTGGGGGAAGTTTTGCATTTCGTGTTGTTGTTGTTGTTGTTGTTGTTGTTGTTGTTTTTTTTTTTTTTTTTTTGCTCTCCTTTTTTTTTAAGGGCAATGCTCTTGAGATATCATCATGGAGCTGATCGGTCCGGCTACCGGTAATTCTGAATTTTAGTTCAATTATTTGAATTTATTTCATTCTATGTCATTGTTTTCGTGCATAGTTCCATGGGAATTCGAACTCAGGTCTGTATTTCAGCAGTTCATGGGTGCGCCGACTTCATTTTTTTTCCCAAGAAGAAGGAGATGAAGGAGAGGAAGAAGGAGACGAAGGAGGAGGAGGAGGAGGAGAAGAAGAAGAAGAAGAAGAAGAAGAAGAAGAAGAAGAAGAAGAGTAGCGTGAGGATGAATCAAGAGAAGAAAATAGCATAGTAAAAATACAGCCGTTCCCCATATATGAGGAGGAGACAGTTTTTCCTTTTTTTAATAAAGGAAAAGGAAAAGCAGCAGGTCTGAGACCCTCCTAAAAGGAAAAGGGAATATAAAAAATATGTGACTGGAAGTCTGAAATTCACCGATCTATTACTAATCGAAAATTGCGCTTCCACTTAATAAGCCTATAAGGGTTCGAAGCCGCAAAATAGCCCTTGTGCTGAGCTGATAAATGTGCCTTAGCCTCTATCTCTTGCCTGCCTGTATCGAGCCTGCAACCCCCAAAATAGCCCAAATAAGCCTGTAGTACCCCCACCCCCTCCCCTCTCCGAAGCTCGTAAGTCGACCCGAGTCATGGATTTCCTTGTGGACAGCGGCGGTCTAAACCACCAGTACGTTTCCCAGCTCTTTTTTTTTGGTTTCCGTTGCGGCTTTGCATGCCGGCGCAACTTTCGGGGCTCGGCCTTCCAGAGCAAAATGGCTGGCAGTGCCAGCCGAAAGGAGGCCCATACGGGCTCGTTCTTTCTTTGGCGCGCAGGGCGTTTCCGGCCCCGGAGAAAAGTCCCTCTGAAGTACTGATGGTTTACGAGCCTCTTTGTGAAGCCCAAGCCAATCCCTTTATTTTGGGGGGGGTCATTTCTCAGTTTGTGTGTAATCCTTGTGTGGGGGTCATCTTCTTTCTCTGTATCGTTCCAATTTTTAACGGATCTCCCGAAGGACAGCTTAAGCCAATCCCTACCTCTGATAATGGCTCAAACTTTAAACCACCGGTACCTTTCCCAGCTATGTTGCGGAGACGCCCCGGGTAACCCGGGGGCCAAGCGGGGGAGGGCCGCCGTCGATACATTGAATCGGTGGCCCGGTTTTCATTTCGGCCTTCGGAAACTGCCCGCGGCCGACATATGGGAAAGGTACTGGTGGTTTAAACTTTATAAAGCATTTCATTTTTTTCCTTAAAAAAAGTTCACAGCACCTCTCAGTCACACCATTTCTGAGTCCGTTCTGCCCGCCGGATTTCTGCACGCCGGATTTGCCTGTCAAGATCTCAATCCATGGATTGAGATCCTGACTGGCGAATCTGGGGTGGAGAAGAGAATTGGCTGAGAGAGGTTGTGAAATTCAAAGGAAATGAAATGCTTTCTTTTTTAAACCAGGCACAGCCGTGCGGCAAAAGGGATTCAAAGATTTATGGCTGTATTCGGTGCAACTTTCAGTCTAGATACGGTGATAATGACCGGGCGTTCTATTCGGGTGAAGTCCGTAGTAGTTGCGCATGTAGATGGAGAGCCGAGGTTTCCAAGATTTGTCATTGGCATTTTTGAATTGCTGGTTTGTGTTTCCTGGTAATATTGAGAAAAGAGAGAGTGACGATTTTCTTTTGTTTAAAAGCACCAGTACAATGAGTACATCATCCCAGCCAAGTCAAGAACCCAAATGAGCCTCTTCTAAAATTTTGGAGGCTCCCACGCGCCGTAGATAAAATTAATCGGCGGCGGGTGGCCTCCAAAAGGCAGCCCGCGACCGATAGCTGGCATGTACTGGTGGTCTAGATACTCTACAGTCTAAACCACTTTTTGGGTAATATAGTTTTATGCTAATCCCGTGCTATTCTGTTTTTGCTGTTCCCTACCCTCGTTCCGCATGGCTACGCCACTCCGGTTTTTGGCGACGGCAGTGTCGGGAATTTCTTCTTCGCAGGGGCCCGTATGTTCTTCTGCTCGTTGGATGCCGCGATATTTGTCTTCTCCAGAGTTGGCCAGATTCCACCGGAGAGTTTGGTGTTGCCAGTTATCTGCACAAACGATCGACTGACACTTGGTGCAGAATTACAGGTCAGATTCACAGGCGAGATGCTAGTCGAGTCGTTTGACACACATTTTGTGCAACTCTCTCACCGAGTCACAGTAATGTAAAGTTTAAAGTTTAAGTCTTTAAGTTCTGTTTAGCCGTTTAAACTTCAAAGTTTAAAGTTTAAAGTTTAAACGTTAAACTAGTTATTAATTAATGTAGTTATTTCTTTTTTTCATGGTAACCGCTGACCTGGACACATCCGGACTGTCTTCCGGACTAGTGTCTCGACCGGTCTGGACTGTCCGGTGATCCGGACATCACCGGACACCCGGACATCACCAGACCTGGACAGTCCGGTGTCAGGGGGTGCAAAATGTCCGGACCTAAAAAAAAAAAAAAAAGCTGGTGGGTGGGGTGGTGGGTGGGGGTGTTGGCAGGCACTCACCTGCTTTGCACTCTGTAGTTCGGGCAGCAGAGCACCTGTCTTGCAGCAAATCAACAAGCACATTCAACTAGCAGACATGCAGAGTTGCAAACAGTACAAAACAGGCGCAAGACTAAAGAAACAGAGATTTTTTTTATTTTTTTTTTACTTTTAAAATTTTTGATTCACCAATTTTTCACTTTGAACTTTGAAGTTTGAACTTTAAAAGAGTCGTCAGACTGGCAGCACTGTCAGTGCTCTCTCTCTCTCTCTCTCTCTCTCTCTCTCTCTCTCTCCTCCCCCCCCCCCCCCCCCCCCCCCCCCCCCCCCCCCCGCAACGTGCAGCAGCGGCGAGCGGGGGCCTGTGTGAAACCCGCCACCCCAAAAACCTGCAGTGTCTTGTGTCCGGACCTCTAGGCCCTGTCCGGTGGGGTGAAACGACACTAAAAAATCACCCCGTTATTTTTCAAGGGGTGGCCAGGACCCGAAAAACGTCCCGGGCCGCCCCTTTTTTTTTTCCGATTTTTGCCCTGGGGGCCTCCATCCGGACATCACGGACTGGACACCGGACCCGGATATGTTGTTCCGGACTGTCTGGAACCTGGTCCGGATATCCTGTCAGTTACCATGGTGTTTTTAGTCGGTTTTTCCTCATTTGTTCTTCTTGGTCTTTTTCAATAGCTGCACTCGTTTGATGGTGGCTGTCTTGTGGAGTTCTCCGTGTGTCTGAGCGTCAGCGAGTTTGTGTCCTTCATGGCAAAGCCTATCCACTGTTTTTTTTTTTTTTTTTTTTTTTTTCCCCACTGAATATGCATATATTCGGCTACACAACTACGGCAGGGCACATATTTAGTGGGTGAACTTTATGGGAAGGCTTCTCGAATATGTGACGTGCTTGGTTCCGTGGACCATGTCCCCATCCATTTGGGCTCCTTCGCCACTGCTGTTAGATGCGAAGTGTGGTAGGTACTAAGAACCCTCTGCCTCATCATTAATAAGATCCAGAGATTCGAATGATTCACCGGTTCCACCGATGTATGGGAAAAATGCGAGGATTCACTTTTTTGTTACCTTGTACTTATGCTATGATGATGCGAATAGGAAGCATGCCTTTAATTGGAATTCCTTTTTCTTTCAACTAGATTTGTTCCGAAGGATGCGATCTTAGAACTTTCTTATACTGTAATTTGGCTTTTTGGGTTGGAACTTGGAACTTGGAAGTTTTTCTTTATTCTTTTGAATCTTTTTCGTTGACTTTTCCTCACTTTTCTTGCTCCAACCCCTAGAGGTGTTTTCTGTATGAAGATGAAAATAAGGGCATTCTCTGTGTGTGTGTGTGTGTGTGTGTGTGTGTGTGTGGGTGTGTGCACGGCGCGTGGGTGTGTTTGTGAGTGGTGTGTGTGTGTGTGTGTGTGTGTGTGTGTGTGTGTGTGTGTGTATATTGCGAAGACCTCTGCCTGTCTCTTATACACATCTAGATGTGTATAAGAGACAGCCCTATGTGTGCGAAACAAAAGAATTGTGAATTTGTGATGTGAATGAATACTTGGTAGTTGGGAGCCAAAAGGGGTCAATGAATTTCAACTTTTAACCTAGGCTACCAGAGTGGCCCGGGGTCACTTGCCCGGCCGGGCCAAAAGCATAAAAAAAAATAAAAAATAAAAAAGTTATTTTTAAATTTTATTTTGTATTTTGAATTTGGTGAAGAATTTCGATGTGACCCTGACGCAAAAGTTGTTCAGTTTATTTTTCTGCATAACATAATTTTTTTCTCGATTTTTTGGAGTTTTGTTTTTTTGCTAGGACCTTCCCTGGTCCTTGCACGGTCTGGCCGCCCGGGACCCGGGCGGCCCGGCTGGTAGCCTAGCTTTTAACCTTTTTTTTTTAATTTTTAATCTGAACTTAATACGGTCAAGACTATTCAAAAAGGGTTCACGAGTCATGACCATATTAAGAATACAATCAAGAAGAATGCAAAGAACCAATACACATTCGACACACCCCATAGCATCTTGTAGCACACTGAAAGCTCAAAGAACATTCATCCAAGCACCAAAAGGAGGAAATTAGTCCACACAAAGACGAAAACACCTCAAAGCACTGGATGAATGTTCTTTGAGCTTTCAGTGTGCTCAAAGAATCAGGTTCCAATTACAACCAGTTATGGCCGTTGTTGCCACGAGCATCCAACAGGTAACCCTCTCTCTCTCTCTCTCTCTCTCTCTCTCTCTCTCTCTCTCTCTCTCTCTCTCTCATTCTCTCCTCACTTCTAGATCTCACTCTCCATTCATCCAACAGGTAACCCTCTCTTTCTCTCTCCCTCGTCTTTGCTTTGTTCTCTGTGCCTC